CCAGCTGTAGTTCCGATTATTTTAAACCATGATAAACAGTCCTACCACATATTATGTGTCCGTTTACAGTTATTCATCGATATTTCACCTTACTTTCTAAGCATATCTGAACAAGCATTCTGAGAGTATTGCATGGCAATACATAGTCCCCTACCGGGTAAAAATTCATTATACTGGAACAAAAAGCTAACTTGTTCTATAACTTGTCATGGTGTAAACAAAAATAAAATATCAAGTCAATATCTTCAAGCATGATCATGACTAAACACAGTGTGGAAAACTGATAAAATGAGTGAATTTTTCAAGTCCAAGGACCATAACTCTGCACAAAATTATCAGACCGAAACAAAATTTCGAACTTGATCTGTATAACTTGTCATGATAAAACTATATACCAATTATCAATCAATATCTTCAAGCATGATGAAAAAAGTGTGGAAAACACTTTAACATTAGATATGATTAATAGTTCTCTAAAATTAGATATGATGTAATACAGTGTATATCTATTTTTAAATTATAATCAAATATAATTAATAGTTCCAAATATTTTGTCTTTTATTTGTCACAAACTAATATAGATTTTAGACGGACAGACGGACAGAGTGCAAACCTAAAGTCCCCTTCGACTTCGTCAGTAGGGGACTAAAAACTGCGTATTATTCTTGTTAACGAAAATCATGGCATGCAAATGGTTCGGTCTAACTAAAAGAGGGACGAAAGATACCAGATGGACTGTCAAACTCATAGATCGAAAACAAACTGACAACGCCATGACCAAAAATAAAAAGACAAACAGACAAATAACTTTCATGTGTTGCCCTTTTCCTAAAATATGGTAGAACAGTTTTTTATTAATTTATTTACAAAGTTGGATTATTCAATGAAAAAGATTTATTATTACATAAATCGTTTTACATTTGTAATTAGATCTGCGAGGACTGCTTCCTGTTATCCAGAGACCACATCTTAAACGTAAACAACAAGAAGGGAAGTTGGGGAATGTTCCATGAACTAGGACATAATTTCCAGGATTCTATGTGGACCTGGGGTGGTACGAATGAGGTGACTTGTAATATATTTACTTTGCACGCTATGGACGTAATTTGCAATGTAAAACCATGGGATCATCTCTGGGTCAGAGAAAAGTTTGAAAATGCTAGCAACTATCTCCGGGTAAGTATATCATAATCATAGGTTTCATGACGAGTGAGAATGGAATATCGCTTTATATCAATTCGAGTTATTTAATTTCAACATAATAATAAACGAGCCTTCGGCGAGTTTATTATTACTATTTACATTAAATAACGAGAATTTATATCAAGCGATGTCCAATTCTCACAAGTTGTTCAACCTATTTCTCTTATGGTCAACACTCCCATTGTGTTAAATTAAAAATTCCGCAAATCGTTGATCTAGTCTTTTGTACATGCCAGTATGACGTCAAATGTACTTTTCCGGTGTCAAACTTTAACATCAGACATTTTAAAACTTTTTGTACGCTTAAGATTGTAATAAAATTTGACAAAAAGAAGATTGTCGGATGAAAAGTGTGAGTGTTTTGTAAATTATTGAAGAAATCACAGATGACCGTTGCCATGGACGAAATGTGCATCGTCTTAACCTTTGTAAGTCGTCAATGACCTAACGAATAGCCAATGGAAATGCCGTGATATTGTCTTATGATGCTGGATAAGCCAATCAAATTAACGCAGATTTTCGTATCACTTTTTCGTATCACACTCCGTACAGTGTGATACGAGAAATATCTATTCATCCAAGAAATAGATAAAAGGCCACAACCATAAGAGAAGTAATATTTATGTTTTCTTTTTTTCTCAATTTTATACACAATCCTTCTTCTCGTTTTGTCACTTTTAAACGCAACAAATTAAGGCGACAGTAGTTTACTGATGTTCAAAATGTGTTTTTTGGTTGCTTGAAATATACGGCTTTGTGTACATACCATTTTCTGATAAAAAGTACTTTTATAAACTTGAGTCGTATGCCATGAAATTATCAATATTTGCTATTGCTTTGCCGACTGGTTGATTTTATCAATAGAAAACTAAACAACATGTACACGAAAGGAAAAGTATTATCACATAAGTATTACAAAAATACCAAACTCCTAGGCAAATTCAAAACTGGGAAGTCCATATATTCATGTACGTTTTATATTTTAATAGCAGGAAAAAGTTTGATTGATTTGTGTTAACTAACAAATAATACACTTAGCTTTATGTCCCAATCATTACTATATGCTCTTTAAATACGGCGGTGATGAGCAAAATTATTCTGTGATCACACCCTAAACTTATTGGAAAATCCAGATTTTCAAAGGTTTTAATTTGTATAGACATACACTCACTATTATTTATAGGAAGGTGCAAAGTATGACAAATGGTGTTCTAATCCTGGTATAGCGTTGTTAGTGTATGCACAGTTGGCGAGGGATTTTGGCTGGACTGCTTACAAATCTGTATTCAGGACTTATAACAAACTTCCGAAAGACAAACGACCATCAACACAGCAGGAAAAGGAGTACATGTGGATACAGACCTTTTCCAATACAGTCAAGAGGAATCTCAACCCTGTTTTCGAATTTTGGGGATGGCCGATTCAGCAGTCTGCTATTGACGAGTTGAAAAGATTTCCTCCATATCTCCCTGATGACGTGACAACAAGCGAATTTGCAAAAGACAGAGCGACAAAAATACTTAAAAAGTACGAAGATAATTCTTCTGGTGCTTGCCCTACTCAGAAACCAACACACAAGGACAATGCTTATTGTCAAGGTAATGATGGTTCTAATAAGACTGATCAATGTGATGTAAAAGGTAACAGTATAAAGGAGGATGACAAAGACAACAATTCAAGTTCATGTTCTGTTTTATAAGTAGATTGAACAAACGGACTTACATATTTAGTACTTAACATGCTTGTAAATATTGAAATAAAAGTGAAGTTCTTCATAGTCACTTTTTATTCATCACTTCTCATGCTGAAAGTTTAACACTTAAAATCACTTTAGCTTTAATTAAATGTTGAAGTTAATGTGTATACCAGTCACTTTTCAGATCAAAAGTCCAACATGTCTTTTATGTCAACAGTGAAATGATTAAAACATCGGGAATCAATTTTACTTTTAAACAAATTGAGACAGAGCGCGTTAATGACCACGTTCTTGACAATTTAAATGATCAACATATTTCGAAGTGACAAGTCAGATATGTATCTTGCATGCTGAAACTGAAACACTGTCAAAAAGCACTTGTAAGTGAAGTCCGTTTTCTCACTGTTATTGGTAAAATAGCTCTATAAAGGCTAAACCATTCCAATAAAATGGAAGATTCTAATGAATGTAGCAATATAATGACACTAAAGTTCCATCTTATCCCAGCGTTATACAACAGAATTAGTTCTGTGAAGTCGAAGGTCAACCAATACAACAGACGGCTTTTGCTAGCGTTGAGTTGCTTGAGGTTGAAATTATCCCTTTGAATTAGTACAAAAGGATACCACAGATTAAGATTGCAATGTGTGCAGAAACATTCCATTACATTCAATACATGCAACGTTACTTGAATATTCCCCAGCTTTAGAAGCATGTGGTTCTTATCAGATTTCTTTGAAACAGAGTTGCTCCTTATCAAGAATCTGCTAAACTAGGGTTCTTAAGGTATCCCCAAAAGGTTTTACTGTAATTGTAGATGTTAACTGTGTCAAAAATGACTATGGATATTTTCCATTGGTTGCATCCACAGTCACATCTTTTTTGCCTTGATTATGGATGAACAGTAGAAATGGTGTCATTAATGGAGTAGAAACTGTTTATCTTTCAACAGCATACTAGTTCATCCTACTTTGTCTTCTTATAGTACATTGCGAAGTAGTTTATACAATAATTCTTACACCTGAATTTAAACCAAATAAGTAAGAGTGATCTTAAAAACTATTGAATCAGTTTTTTTTTTGTTTTTGTTTTTTTTCATTTTAATGTAATGTATAAATTCATTCATACATCAATGTATTAACAAACCATGTTTCAAGCTGATAGCACAGTTATGCATTCACATTTAACACATTGAACTTGAAAACAAAATCTCAATTTGACAGACGTATTAATACATTTTTTAGATTGAGGCAAAAATACAAGACACATGAACACTCAAATCAAAATATCTTTAAACATAAACCTAATTAAAGGAGCAGTTGATATATATATACAATGTAATAAATGTACCTCTTTCATGAATTTTTGCTGTAAAATGGTGACAAAGTTCCCAAGTCCAGAAAAGTGAGAATAAAATATCAATTCCATATTCTAATGCAATTATTTTGTATCAATGGTTCTGATTGGATGACAGTAAGTGTAAAATTCTCTATCTCCTTGTCTGTAACTAAGGAAGCTGACATTTTGAATTGAGGAATGTATTGACATGTAATTTCTACAATAATAAGCAAAAAACTCACATGTTGCACCTAGAAATCTTCTTTTTATCAAATTTTATTATATTCTGAAGAAGTCAAGAAGCCAGAAAACACCCGGTGTTTACATTTGACGCCAGAAGCATACCTATGACGTCACCTTGTTTAGGGGCCAAAGAAGATAATGAAAATTTTACACTGAAATAATGCTTGAAATTGAATTATGTACTTGTTTTGCATTAGAATAGAGATAACTGTATTGTATTTGAAGCTTTGCGGACGACCATCGGTAGTTTTACTGTCGCAAAAACCCGTTTACCTGTCTCCGCTACGCGTCGCCAGGTAAACTAAATTTGCGACAGTAAAACTACCGATGGACGTCCACAAAGCTTCAAATACAATACAGTTATCTCTTAATTCTAATGCAATTCCTTTGTAACGATAATTTTCATTGGACATTGACAAATATTTTGAGGGGTTAGATTCCACGTTCTACTAGTCTGTAACTAAGGAAAGGCCACCATTTTGAATTCCGAATTTCCCGGCCAGAATAACTGACTATAAAATTCTTAGTAATCATAATTTATTTTTATTAATTATATATATACAATGTAAGAAATGGACGCAAAACAATAACAAATAATTCATATAAAATTTCAACGACAAGTTATATAAACACTCTTGTAAAGTCTGGTGTAATATGTGAGCTAATTGCTAAGGTGGAATAATAAGTTACTGTTGGAGGTTAATACATGTAAACAGTACCTGCAAAAAATACCTAAAAAAAATTGTATTTCAAATGAAAATACAAAATCATGAAATCATAAAAGTAAATCATCTGGAAAAAAAATATTTGCAAAATTTAAGAAAAAGGAAGCCGAAGATAAAAGGCCACTTATATGATAAAAAATTTTCAAAAGTATCATTACACTTCTTTCATTCTTTTTTAATGTGCCAAATCAAATAAATGAACAAAATCATGTTTCATCTTAACAGATCATGTATAAAAGGTTAAAGATTAAACTTATATGTTTTGTTTGTTTTCGATTTGAATTTCACAGGATAAAACTTCTACAGACTATCAACAGAGAAATATGTTCACTAATTTGTATTTTAAGTCTAAACCATCTACATCTAAATAGTATTTTGAACATGAAAAAAGCAGGAATTGAGATTTCAAATGAACATTGCAAATATATGTTCAATATTAATAATATCAATATATATACTATCTTAACCTCCATGTTAGAAATGCCTTAATTATAAATATAACATTTGTCATGATGTATCATCATTAGTTTTATTTATGGATTTAGTATGAAATATATCTACAGTAGTTTTATGACAAGGTCGTAGGTCAAGGTCACTGGATCCTATAGAAAATTTATTGTCTGAAGCTTTGTATATATCTAATCCTCTTCCTATCTTTACAATCCACCCAGTGTTGAACCTAACAATAAAAAGGTCAAATGTTAAACATAATTTTTCTGTGATAATAATATACAGGTAAGTAATATTATTGTAAACAACTAATGCAAAGATTTCTTTAGTTAAGAACGCAGTTTAAGAATGATGTGGCAACATTCCTTAACTTTCAAATCCAGTGCACATTTTGTTAAAAAAATACTATAATACACCTACTTAATCTCCCTGTCATGTAGAAAATCATGATAGGACAAGGTGAATTGATTTTATTCCCTCTCTATGTTAACTGATTAACTAATCTCCCTGGCAATTAAAGAATCATGATAGGACCAAGTGAACTGTATCCCTTAACTAACTACCTGCCGAATCAACTCTTGACAATTAGAGAATCATGATAGGACCAAGTGAACTGTATCCCTTGACTCAGTTAACTACCGTCATAATCTCTCTTTAATGTGAGGAATCATAATAGGACCAGTGATCTCCATGGATGCAAATTTAATCATGGAAGAACTTTCACCAGGACAAAACCCAACATGATCGAAATTATTTCATTTCCTCATTTTGTTGTAAGAAATAGTGGACAGTCTGATATATGCAAGCTCTGGAATATAGCATCAACTTGGAGATATATACTCCATATGCAGGCCTGTTACTTTGCATAAAAATACGTGAGTTTTACCAATAAGAGTCTAACCTTGCAGTCATATAAAATGGGTGTACGCATTACGGAAGTCAAAAATAAGCACCCACTCAACTTGTAAAAACTTTTTTCTTCCTATTAAATTGAAAGTAAAGTAAATTTATTTTTTAAATCTTAAAAACCATAAGCATTTGCTGAAAAGTAATTAACTTATGCAGTCAATCATCTGATCAGAATATTCTCCTGTTAGGTGTCTCTAACTACCTGTACAAGTGATTAACAATCATTAGAATGATATTGCACAGGACATTAAAACAGTAATAAGGAGGACCCTTTGGGTTATAAGACAAGAGGGATTAAGTAATTACAGTTGATTGAATTTAACTGAAATCAAGAATGGGGGGCAAACAGCAAATCAAAAATGAATTTTGACTTCTCCTGTCAACTATAGCGCCATTATTTTAAAGATGGCAGGTCCATGGACAAGATTTTTTGACAATGATCAAAGATAATTAACGATGGCGGTATGCCTAAATGAAACTGGTCATAGAGATACCTTATTCATCCAGATGAACTGTATCCCTTCACTCAGTTAACTACCTACCTAATTTCCCTGTCATGTAGAGAATCGTGAAAGGACCAGTTGAATTCTATTCCATGGCTGAGTAAACTTTTCTTTAGTTGGTTCAGTTTCTGCTGTTGTTGCATTTGAGCATCAGGATACTAAAAAATATATTTTGTTATTTGGCAAGATGTAAATTGATACACACAAATCTTCCTGAAATATCACATCTAATAATTCTTAGCTATACATATAGCGATGGTTCATTTTTTTCAATGAAAAGAGAAAATGTTGGTACTGTAAAGATCACTTTCTTAAATGAATATTTCATATTATCTGCTATCTGTTTATACAAATGATTCTCTATTGTATATCAAATATCATATGTTAATATCTTTTCTGGATCAATCATTAACAAAATGTTTACTTTGGTACAATTTAGTGCTGGTTTTTTTCAAAGAAATAGCATAAGGTTGTTATTTCCAGACACTACAGTTATTTCTGGAATTTGCTTTTATACACTCACTACTAAGTGAGGATTAAGAAGCAAAATAAGAAAAACATATTATTAGATTCTCATATCCAGTAAGATATCAACATTATCATATGAAAAGCAAATATAAAGTGCCTCAATTTACTCACAGAATCTTCAAGAATTTAAATATGATATAATGTGTATACATTTTTTGTTTAAAAAGGAAAGTAAATGTTATGTGCCTACCTCATCTCTGCCAGTCAGTAACCTTATCTCCTTTACTGAACACTGACTCTTTACAACAACTTCACAAAATCTCAGTAAATTACAAATCTTAAAATAAACCAACATTCAATTGTTTTTATTGATAATGAAACCTTTGACAATGAACTTGTTCAATGCCCTAAATAGGTGGTGGGAATTGATATTCATATTAGAATTCATGTAATGGGGATTCATTAATTTTTGTGAGTACCAATTTTCATGGATCGAATAAAAATATATATATATGAGTTCGAATACCGGCGAGGGAAGAACAAAAATTTGCTTCTGCTGATATTTAGAGTAATTATATATATAATATGTGTTTTCAGCCATGTATCACCTTCACAATGGATGGATCTGCATAGAGTTGTCACTTGTTTAGACGTACTTATCAAAATAATTATTTCTGTGACTAAATCTTATGATCCTCTACAATAGATAATTTAGCTAATCTGCAATCAATTCCATCTTCATGCCTAATATATCATGAACTTTGTTACAACTCTAGATTCTACGGACGAGGAAAGGTAACACAAGGCCACCGAAAGCTGAATTTTTTGTTCAGTCTAGGTGGCCTAGTGGTCTAGAGCGCTGGACACAGTGCAGGCGGTGTTGTCCCGATATCCAAATAGCAAGAGTTCGAATCTCAGCAAGGGATGAAAAAAAAATTTGCTTCCCCAAATTTGCAGATTTAACATTGTTGTGCTGACATTTAGAGTAATTATATATATATATATATATATTTTAGATTCCTAACATCACTGAAAAGACATTAATTGTCGAAATCCGGATATGGTGTACCAATTTTTGCACCTTATGTTTGCGGTATACCATCTTTTCCGCAAGTTTATTGTTTTCTATTTGGTATTAAATTAATAATTAAGATCCATTTTGTTACATCTGGTGATCCATTTCTTTGGCAATCGCCATGGCAGTCGATCAGGGTTTAAGAACATCCGTTGTTCGACCTGCTAGTCAAATGCGTTTAGTTAATATATACTTTTTCACTTTTTTGGTCTTTTGGAAAATGATGTTTGTGCTGTATTTAGACCCCTTTACCAAGAAACTTGTTTTTCATGCACACGTATGAAAATTGCAGTTTTATCCAACGCAATCATAGATTTGAACGTTGTTTTCAATTTAGACTTGTTTATATTTTTTTGTTTGGGATTGTATTATATTTTTTCCTTTCGGGTTTATATGATCCATTCATCCTATTTCGACTCTTCAAATTCAAGAGTCTATCCTTAATTGAGGTAAATTATATGGCCTTCCAAATACCATTTCGATTCCTAACATCACTGAAGAGACATTAATTGTCCAAATCCGGTTAAGGTGTACCAATTTTTGCACCTCATGTTTGAGGTATACCATCTTTTCTGCAAAATTTATAATTTTCTGTTTGGTATTAAATTAATAATTAAGATCCATTTTGTTATATCTGGTGATCTGTTTATTTGGCAATCGCCATGGCATTCAAGCAGGGTTTAAGAACATCCGTTGTTCGACCCGCTAGTCAAATGTGTTTTGTTAAAATATACTTTTTTGGTCTTTTGGAAAATGTTGTTTGTGCTGTATTTAGACCCCTCTACCAAGAAATTTGTTTTGCATGCACACGTATAAAAATTGCGATTTTTATCCAACACAATCATAGGTTCAAACCTTGTTTTCAATTTAAACTTGTTTATGTCTAAATTGAAAACAACGTTCAAACCTATGATTGCGTTGGATAAAAACCGCAATTTTTATATGTGTGCATGCAAAAACAAATTTCTTGTTAGAGGGGTCTAAATACAGCACAAACAACATTTTCCAAAAGACCAAAAAAGTGAAAAAGTATATTTTAACAAAACGCATTTGACTAACAGGTCGAACAACAAATGTTCTTAAACCCTGCTGACTGCCATTGGCGATTGCCAAATAAACGGATCACAAGGTGTAATAAATGGATCTTAATTAAAAATTTAATACCAAACAGAAAACAATAAACTTGCGGCAAAGATGGTATACCGCAAACAAAGGTGCAAAGATTTTTGTACACCATATCCGGATTTCGACAATTAATGTCTCTTCAGTGATGTTAGGAATCGAAACAGTATTTGGAAGGCCATGTAATTTACCTCAATTTAGGATAGACTCTCGAATTTTGAGGAGTCAAATTAGGATGAACGGATCATATAAACCCGAAGGCAAATATAATACAAGCCCAAACGAAAAAATATAAACAAGTCTAAATTGAAAACAACGTTCAAACCTATGATTGCGTTGGATAAAAACCGCAATTTTTATACGTGTGCATGCAAAAACAAATTTCTTGTTAGACATAAAGTGCCTAGAAAATCAACCTAACGATGTTAGAGTAGATCTGTTTCTTAACTTCCTTCCCGAGCGTGGCTGGAACCTGCACTTTTTATTTCTTACTTCGACGACAACACCGCCTAGCATTGCGCAGACACCTTATCCCCTCCTCTAACTATAGCATATAAAAATAAACTGCTTCGCTGAGCGCAGCTAGATATGCCCGCAGAGGTCCAACCCTGAACAGTTTGGGCAAAAATGAACACAATATTCAAGCTTGATTCAGGTCTGAATTTGAATTGTAATTAAATAATTGACATATTATAGGTTTCTGAATAAGTGTAGTCAAAGATCTTGAAATTGGTTATATGAATTGAATTTATATTCAATTAAAGATTTCTTGCTGTTGTGCAATACTTAGTAAATCTGTTGTCAGACTATAAACAAATAAAGTTCAATTAATTCTCAATGTCATATTAGAAATTTATGAAAATAAAAAGAGAGCTTACATCAATAGATATTAACAATTCACCAAAGTTTCATGAGAATTGGTGACAGCATTTTTGAGTTATTGTCCGAAAACTGGAAAATCACCCCTTTTTTTAATGAATAAAACCCCATATAACTCAGAAATGTAAAATGTAAAATTTATAAAATTCGAAAGGGAGCTTACATCAATACATACAAACAATTCACCAAAGTTTCATAAGTATTGCTGAAAGCATTTTTGAGTTTTTGTCAGTAAAACTAGAAAATTCCCCCTTTTTTTATGAATGAAACCCTGTAACTCGGAAACGTAAAATCTAAAATTTATAAAAATCCAAAGGGAGCTCATGTCAATAGATATAAACAATTCACCACAATTTCTTGCAAGTTGGTGAAAGCATTCTTGACTTATTGTCCAGAAACTGGAAAATCCCCCTTTTTTTAATGAATAAAACCCCATTACTCGGAAACGTAAAATCTAAATTTTATAAAAAATGAAAGGGAGCTCACGTCAATAGATATCAACAATTCACAAAAGTTTTATGCAAATTGGTTGAAGCATTTTTTAGTTAATGTCCGACATGTTGACGACGGACGGACGGACAGACGGACAACGGTATACATTTTGTACCATAATACGTCCCGTAAACGGGCGTATAATCAGCTTTCGTTTCAGGAGGTGTTACCTTCTCATAGGAATTAAACAAGGATATCTGATACAATACACGAAGTATTCTTTTTAGCGTACAGAAATGATCATCTACTCATCTCTTCAGTATAATTACAGGATGCTAATCTATTTTTAGAAGCATACAATCACTGTAAATTAATATACTATATATATATATATATATATATATAGTATTTTTGTAGAAACTTGATTTCATGGTTTTGCGAAAGTTTGTATAAAGCCTAAAGAAAATTTAAACTTTGTTGAACAATTAAATTTTTAGTTTCCCTATACCCACCAAATCAACCAAAATTGGTAATTAACCTGAGAGTAGTAATGAATCCGCAATACCAATTATTTTGGCAGCTATTAAAGTCCCTTCAGCATTTTCAGTTTTATTTCAAAATTTATATATGTAAACTTTTCCCTTGATCTATAAAATTCTAAACTCTCAAATCTGATATCATTTAGGACAATTCTAAGGCCATAATTCAACAACTCATTTTGACAAAGTTGTTATTAGATAAAAGTAAGAAGATACCAAGGGTTAGTCAAAATCTAAGTATGGAAAACTATACCATGATAGAACAAAAACAAACATACAGAACAAGACAAACAACAGTACTGTAAACTGAGATGTTATGTAAGAGTAAACAGTTCCTGCTCCACTAGTGGCTCCTGTGATGTTTCATATGCTTTAGTTATATAGCTTCCAATGTATTTATGTAAAAAGTTAAATTGTGAAGCAACTGAACCATGTCAGCACTATAATTCAGTAAAATTAATTACCTTAAGTAAATTAAATCAAGTTTCTGTATGATTACAAGTAGTAGTATACATAACTGTCAAATCTCCTGAAACAGAGTTATTTCCCTTTATCACTACCATCTGAAGGATAACTTTTAACTTCAAGAAGGACATATCTAAACAAAAACTGAATTGTTGGAAACATGGCTAGCCAATGTCTAGCGGCAAGTATTACATGCATATTCAAATGAAAAACACATTAATTTGATATGAGTATGAAAACATGAGTATGAAACCTGCTTTGTACAAGACCCACACAGTTACCAAGATTTTAAACGTGCTAGTTCCCAGGGTTAAAGTCTGCAGGAAAACAGGTCACATGACACACTAACTCTGACTGTGTGAGACCCTCATGAGTAGTAAAGGTCGTTAAACACCCCCTATAGCTAGTAGTACTCTAAAATTACCAGTCTTTGCTCTTACATCTAAATGCTACATGCTTAGCAGCAAGCAGCAAATGAATTTTCAAAAAATCACAACCACACTACCATAAGACCACTTGAGCAGAATTAAAGTAAGATCTATACTATTTATAATTGATCAAATATCTTACTTTAATTTATATGGCACAGATTATGAAAGATTGGAAAATCTGTGACAAAAAAGAGTCAAATTATGAAAGATTATAAAAACAAGGAGTTTGATATGCACCCTACAACCTTCAACAATGAGTAAAACCCCTATCAGGTTTAATTACATTAACATTAATAACTTACTTGATGGTGTGCTCTAATGTAGGGATCTTCTATTTCTATTTCTGTCAAAAATTCTGTCATGAAACGTGAAAATAATTTCTCCATTCCAAATCCAGTAGCATTGTCATCTATCTGGATCTGTTCATGGGATCCTCCAGCTAGAAAAAAAAAGGAAAACTACTGACTTTGTAGACAGTATGAGTTTTGCTCATTGCTGAAAGCCATTCCTTGGCCTATAAGTGTCTACATACATTTGAACCATACTTTGGTCTGTGGTGGATAAATAGGAAATCAAGCTGGCTCTCCTTATTTTTATAAGCTATGTATTGATCACTTGGAAGTATTCCCTTTTAAGTGCTGAAAAAACTTTTCACACAAGTATACCATATTCCTATAAGACAAACTTTGAAGAAGGCTACTGCTAGTGGAAACATTTATCAGCCAATGGCATTCAAAGAGAAAATAAAAGCTACACACACTGAAATGTCTCGCCTACTTTACTTATCATAATTGAAATTATGATGAAAGTGTGTAATATCAAATCAAATCAATTATTTTAAAGGATAAAGCACATATAATAAATATGACATTGCGTAATCCAACTGTACAACATACCTGACATATACAACATGACAAATAATGTAAATAAAACATAATGCATAACAAGAGAAAATTAATGACAATAGATATTATGCTATCTATATATATAAGTCTAAATTGAAAACAACGTTCAAACCTATGATTGCGCAATTTGTATACGTGTGCATGCAAAACAAATTTCTTGATAGAGGGGTCTAAATACAGCACAAACAACATTTTCCAAAAAACCAAATAAGTGGAAAAGTATATTTTAACAAAAAGCATTTGACTAGCAGGTCGAACAACTGATGTTCTTAAACCCTGCTGACTGTCATTGGCGATTGCCAAATATATATATATAAAATTATGTATAACTAAAAGCCTATTTTTTTTGTATAGTACTTCCATAATATAAAGGTTTTACTCAGTTTTACATAAGTTAACATTATCGATGATCAATGTAAATGAGGTCAAGTTCAGATGAACCATAACAGACAGACAGACAAGAACACCTTACAATCATACCATACATCTAATATAGTTAACCTATTGCTTATAGTATCTGAGAAATTTGAACATTGACCAATGAAACATGAAAATGAGGTCAAGATCTGAAGGATAAAATTGAGAATGGAAATAGGGAATATGTCAAAGAGACAACAACCCCACCAAAGAGCAGATAACAGCCGAAAGCCACCAATGGGTCTTCAACGAAGCGAGAAAATCCAGAACCCTGCCAGACAACATGTACAACATGAAATCATTCCATACACCAAATACAGTTCACCTATTGCTTACAGTATCCAGACACCAAAATAACAATTTACTTTAAAAGACCTTAATTGATACAGGGTTCTCACTAAAGAGTTATGGAGAAAGTGTAAACATTAAAAGTTACAGGCATGACGAGTAAATTGTTGTTTCCATATTCACTTCAGTCATGTAAAAGTTTGATGTAGAAATTCTTCTGCTGGTCATTTATTGTTCATACTTTCTCTATATCATACTATGTATGGGCTTTGCTAGTTGTTGAAGGCCTTACGGTGACCAATAGTTGTTAATTTCTGTGTCATTTGGTCTCTTGTGAAGAGTTGTCTCATTGGCAATCATACCACATCCTGTTTTTTTATATTTAGTATATATTATACATGTAGATTTTATTAAATTTAAGTTCATATTTACCATTTTTTGTTTCTATAACAAAAGATTTGAGTTGTTCAGCTCTGTCCATATATTCTGATATATTATTAATATTTACCATTTTTTGTTTCTATAACAAAAGATTTGAGTTGTTCCGCCCTGTCCATATATTCTGATATTTTCTTCCTGTATCTTTCCTTCTTACTTTGATCACTTGTAGCTGTAATATAATGCAAAGTCAGCATTTATTCTTATGTTTGAAACCGTCAGTCAATCTGTAAAAACAACAGGCTTTATGTTGTGTTTAATCATTTTAGATCATAGTGAATAAGAAAGAAAGTCATTACAAATTGACAGGAGTAACACTTCCACTAGTGCAGAGCTTACCCATCTAAAACAAATGATTTTACCCAAGGCATGTGTTAAGAGGAGTTCCAGATGCTCAATCTTTAGTTTTCTGTAGGTCAGGGGCAATACAAGTCATGCTTATTGGTTTATAGAATAAAAGAAGTATGTGTCTGAAGACACGAATGCCCTCGCTCAAGCTTTGCAATTTTCCAAGTTATAAAGGGGCATAATTCTAGAACGGTAAATGACCCACTGTCCAAATTTAAACTCTGTCCATGAGTGTTGGTTCTTAGCATTGTGTATAATTTTCATAAAATGTTTAAGAGAAAAACTATAAATAGAGTGTTGAAACGAAAATGTGACAGCAAATGGACAGTCAAGGATAACACTTAATACCCCCTTCGCCTAGTGGTAGGGGCATAAAATTCTAAATGTTTAAGGGATATCAATCTGCCAGTAAATAAAACACATTTGTATTACTCCTGTTCGTCTATGTAACAGTTAATCTATGAACTGTCTTTTGCTCCTGTTAGTCCTTTATTATTTGGCCAATGTCTGTTTATCTTTAACTTATGTTTTTTTGTTTTGCATGTGTTGTAGTATCTCCCTTGTTAATAATCCTTCTTATCCATGGTATCTGGTGAAAAGGAAAACACACTTTTAAACCAACTGCCAATTGCAAGCCTATTACCATATATATCCTTTTAACATCTAGATCTATAGAGCTAATAAATGTCTTACTGAAAACCCACCTAATTAGAAACCCCTTAGACCTTACAGACTGCTGCTGTCTCCAGTACTTTAATATCCACTCTAATATCACATCTTCTTATATCTAACACTATATATCCTTACCTCAATACTTTCTAGCTGTATCCAGTCTAAAACTATATATATCCTACATTGGCTAGAGGTAAGGGGGAGGGTTGAGATCTCACAAAACATGTTTAACCCAGCCGCATTTTTGGCCCTGTCCCAAGTCAGGAGCCTCTGGCCTTTGTTAGTCTTGTATGTTTTTTAATTTTAGTTCATTTATCTGTTTTTGAGTTTAGTGTGACGTCCATTTTCATTGAACTAGTACACGTTTTGTTAAGGGGCCAGCTGAAGCCCGCCTCCAGGTGCTGGATTTTCTTGCTGTGTTGAAGACCCATTGGTGGCCGTCGGCTGTTTTCTGCTGTTTGGTCGGGTTGTTGTCTCTTTGACACATTCCCCATTTCCATTCTCAATTTTATACCTTACCTTTTAAAACCTGTAATAGTAAATTAATGCCCTCTTGGTAACACACCAGTGATTCATCAAACCTTCTAGCTGTATCCATTTCCACAGCTCTCTTTAGGACACTGATTGCTGAGGCTTCTACCCCTGTTACGACATCAGCCATTTGACATTTACTCTGACATCTTCATTTTAAATGATATTCGGGCTGCTACATTTTTCTGAAAATTGCCTGGAATGAGAACACTAAAGATTTTAGAATTAACATACTTAATATAATACATTGTAATAGTGCTTATGAGATAATGAGATCTCATGTTTAAAATAATTGATAAAAGCTGAAGCTAACATGTACCTATAAAAGTTTCTTGAAATTCAAAAAGTTTGGAAAGCTCTCCTTTGTTGTTATGCATTGACACTTAGCCAAAGCAGTTTTAAAGCAGATAATATAAATAAAGCTAAATTAAACTAGTTCTTAAAGTTGCATGGAAAGCATAAAAAATCAAAAGCTTTAAGATCTGCAGGAGCCACATCTGCATGAGTTGCCATTCCAGTTGTTGATCATACTTTTAAAATGGTTCAGGTTCGACTGCACACGGATCTTGTCAGGCAGCTCATTCCAGAGTGTAGCTCCAGCATACCTTAAGGAATGAAGTACAAATTGTGTTGTTCTCACCTGTGGTACTTCAACTGTCTGTTGCTTTCTAAAAGAGTAAGGTACATTTTTAAAATTAATAATATCGTGGAGATAAACTGGTGACTCTTTGTGTAATATTTTAAAAACTTCTATTGCCATCATTCGTAGACGTCTTATTTTTAAAGAAGGTTAATCAGATTTTAACAAAAGAGTTTCATAGTCACTACTAACATCTTTATAGATGAACCTCAAGGCATAACAAAGTAAAGGATGTATATTGCCTCTTTGAAACATGTAACATACATATGTCATCACAGTTTTTTGATATATGTATGTTATTTTTCTCTAATAACTTATTTAAGTTAGACCCTTGACTGTTGACAGGCCATATGCCTTCAACTTTAATAACAGTAAGTTATGGGGCAGGCAATCAAAGGCCTTTGAAAGGTCCATAAGAACAGCTGCAACATATAAATTTTGGTCGACTGCTTTTTTCCAGTCCTCAATGACTTTTAGAAGTGCTGTATTACAGCCATAGCCAGGTCTTAAAGCTGACAAAGAAGGATGAAATATCTTACTAAAATATTCTATAAGGTATAGAACCACTAATTCAGGCCCGGTCAGAAAGAACATACAAGAAAGTAGTACATATTTTAAACAAAATAGTTCCTACGCATAGCTGTATCTTTGTCAATAGCGGGTATATTTGGGTAGTTTTGGTATCAAATGAAAGCTTGTGGACTTGGGATCATTGTAGAACCCTTGTTGAAAGATTTATTTGAATAATAAAGAAGTATATGAAATTTTGATAGGAGAGCACATTTGGCCTGTTGTTCAGATCAGAAGTTCCTGTTTTTGTATTATCAAACTTCCGGGAACCAGTACGCTCTAATATGCAATTAAAGGTATGTTGATTTTTTCAGCACAAGTCAGGATAAGGTACATTTTTGACATGAAATAACTGCCACTTTATTTGAACTTAAGACAAAGTAGCCATTAATGCTTGAAATTGCAGAATTTAACATAGAAACCAATGGGGATATGAATTAGTGGTTTTATACCTATTACTGACAGGCATATGAAATTCTATTTTTAGAAATCATACCCTTTACAGTGTAAATTGGTCACATTTGTTGTCAGAAATCATGTTAATTTATTCTTTTTATGTAACAATTATGTTAGTGTCAAATTACAGCCCTCAAATTGCTACATTAAGGTATTTTAGCCATTTTTTTTGGTCATTTAGCATGCACACAGTTAAGATTTTACCTGAAATTTTAATTTTTGTATTATCTAACACTGAAACCAATGAAACTTGTATATTATGACTAGTTTATAGTATAAATATTACTTTTGGTCAAATTATCTAGTGAGTGTTCATGTTTTATTGGGTTTCTTAGTGAATTATTTATTTCAAGGAAAATTGGTGTATACTTATACAGGAATTCCAAAATCTCACTGGAAATGCATTTAATAACCATTTTTGCAAGTTGTCTAGCTTAGAGATATATAAATTGCTCTTGTTGATCCATGTTTATACATAAAAGTATGGTTTTTTACCAAATCGCTCTCCTTTTTCAACATGTTGAAAAAAGGGGGGACAAAATTATCAATTACATTTTATGTTTGGACCACTGTATTCATATTCAAGTAAGAATCTCTGATAAGAATAAGACATATAGGTAAGAACACTGTTATTTGAGTAGATATTAACAAATCAGAACTGGTAAAAAATGAAAAAGTGTCATATCTGTCACTATTAGTATCCATATGTAGTTTTCTTTGTTTAACGCATATGTTACTACCAGTCCAATTTGAGCTTGAATTCAGTGATATAGTGTTTTGACAAAAGCTTTATGTGTTTTTCTATGCTAGAAATAGATCATAGAAGGAAATTAAGTCAAGCAGAAGTCAATATAACAAGTTTGGTGCTGTTATAGGTATAGAACCACTAATTCAGGCCCGGTCAGAAAGAACATACAAGAAAGTAGTACATATTTTAAACAAAATAGTTCCTACGCATAGCTGTATCTTTGTCAATAGCGGGTATATTTGGGTAGTTTTGGTATCAAATGAAAGCTTGTGGACTTGGGATCATTGTAGAACCCTTGTTGAAAGATTTATTTGAATAATAAAGAAGTATATGAAATTTTGATAGGAGGGCACATTTGGCCTGTTGTTCAGATCAGAAGTTCCTGTTTTTGTATTATCAAACTTCCGGGAACCAGTACGCTCTAATATGCAATTAAAGGTATGTTGATTTTTTCAGCACAAGTCAGGATAAGGTACATTTTTGACATGAAATAACTGCCACTTTATTTGAACTTAAGACAAAGTAGCCATTAATGCTTGAAATTGCAGAATTTAACATAGAAACCAATGGGGATATGAATTAGTGGTTTTATACCTATTAGTTGCTAGTATATGGCCCTTTCAAAGAACTTTGACACCACCGGTAGTATAAGAATAAGAATAAGAATAAGAATATTTATTGAATCCAATTAAAGGGCCCGTTTCCGAGCATATACACATATATATAGTATTAATTATACAGTAATTTTTTAGATATATTACATTAAAAATAAAGAATTAAATAACTATACTCCATACCAGATGGTGTTTGAAAATAAATAAAATAGAATATTAACCCTCTCTAATACATAAAAATAAATAAACTACTGTAACAGTACTACTACCATGACTACATGTATATTTAGTTAGTTACCGGAATGCAAATTTTCTCTTATTTTAAAACAAGTACTTAAAAATATTGACACTGACATATTAACATTTTCAGACTCACATGATATTAACCAAATAAATTGTTCATACTTTGAAATAAAAGGGAAGTTTTTACATTGAATGCATGCTTCATTAAGAATACAATTCCGTTCCTTTTCATAAGCAGTGCATTCCATTAAAAAATGAAACTCGTTTTTAACATGCATATTTTTACACTGCCCACAAAATCTTTTATCTTTATTGATTTTTTTATATCTACTTTTCTTAATAGCTAACTGATGAGCACTGATTCTAAATTGAGTTAAGCTTTTTCGATACTGAAATTTATTAACTTGACATAAATATGCTTCCCTTTTGAAGATGTTTTTTTAAATTTAAAATAAGTATGCAATTTTCCTTTTTTAACATTTGCATTATCTTCTATAGTATTTTTCCAGTAAATCCTATATCTACTAATCAAAATATTTTTAACTTTTTCAATGTCAAAACTTTCCATATCAACATCAATACATCTTAAAATATATACAATATTAGAATACCAAGATGACTTATTACATTTGTGAGTGTCAATACTTGTGAATAGGGCTTGCTTTAACAAATGATCCTTTTCTAAACCATTAATTTCTTTGTAAAAATTTAAGAATAGAACAAATGATTTCAATATGCAATGGAGTATGACCTAACTCTCCCATAACAGCTAAATTACATGACTTTTTATTTACCCCGAGAATGTATTTGTAGAACTTTAAACTTAAGTTCACGCAATCAAACTTACTAAATTTTTTCTCAATTTCAAAGGGGCTGTTTGTTCGACATTTTGAAAAATTAAAAGTACAAGTTCCCCAAATTTCAGAGCCATATGTTAAAATTGGCTTCATTGTATGGTCAAAGATATGTAAACGACTATCAATTTATGGGATGTTTTCACCGAAAGTACTTTTTAACTTGAAAAAAGCTTTTAATCCCCTTTGATACAAATCATATCTAGCCGTAGAAAAACTTCCAGAAGCAGAAAAAATAACACCTAGATATTTATAATTTCTAACATTCTCAATTGGTTCACCATTAAAATAAAAGTTACTTTTAATTATTTTACCACCTTTGTTAAAAATTACAATTTTTGTTTTTTTAAGATTAACCTGAATACACTAACTTTTACAATATTCTTCTAATTTATTTAAACATCTACTCAAACCTGTTTGACTAGTAGAAAGAAGCACAACATCATCGGCATACATTAAACAATTAAGTTTTGTACTTCCTATTTCAGCTGGTACACAGTAATCAATAAAAATACACGGCAAATCATTGACAAATATTTTGAAAAGATTGGGACTTAGATTATCCCCTTGTCTAACTCCAATGTTAGCTTTAAGTTGATTTGTTAATTTATCATTTAATTTAACTTGTAAAAAATTATTATTATACATGTTCTTAATAATATTATAAAAATAATAATAGTACGGTGTCAAGGTCTGTAGTTTCCTGCCTCTGACTATTCTTTTTATGCAATGGAACAACCTGCGCTTCCTTAAGATGGTCAGGAAACTCTGAACATTTTATTGACATATAAATAGGTTTAGTAATAGGTTTTACAATTACTGGTTTGGCTTTTTTCAAAACTTTGACTGATACACCATCAAAGCCAGTAGCTTTGTTTACATTGATCTTATTAATTTGTTTTTCTACAAAGTCATCATTAATTTCATTAAACGATAAACTGCCTTCAACATTACAATTCTCTATAATGGTTTTAATGCTTGGACGGTTTTTATCTACCGCACAACTATCATTACCAATGTCTTTGGCTACATCATGTACATATACAAAGTAATCATTGAAAATTTCTGCGACATTAGATTGATCGTTTATGATGTTATGATCATTGCACAATACAATATTGTTGTCAAAATGACTACCTTTTTTTGTTAAAAAGGGTTTAACTGTTGGCCAGAAATCTTTTTGTTTTGGACCACCAGTGCAATGCTCTATAAAATAGTTTCTTATAGACTGACGTCTTAGTTTGGTAACAATGTTTCTTTGTTGGCGATATGTCTCCCAGTTTTTTCTTTGATCTTGTTTGTAAATATTTGTTGTGTAGCATTTGTTTCTTGTAGATTGCATTTTTTAGATGTTTATTCATAAATGGTGCAGGTTTGTATACAGTTTTTCTTTTTTTCACTGGTATGTGGTTGTCAACTATACTTATTAATTTTGTATGAAAAATAGTGTATGCCTTGTTAACATTGTCTACATTATCTACATTATCTACAACTGTTGTAAGGTCAGTCAGAGGTACTACTTGTACAAGTAATCTTTATTTACTTGAAGAAGTAAAAAAAATATACTTATATAAGTTAATTATAATGTTTGAATAATCTCCCCTTAATTTTCTCACAAATTTACTTGTATAAGTAAATTTTTTTTACAATCCCACAAAAATTCTCAAGTTTTGAGATGTAAAAACATGCCTTTAATGATTTTTCCCAGGTTAGCTCATAATTTTTGATCAATGTTTCATCTCATTAATTCAACAAAGAAACTGATTGCGCAAAGATCTTAAGTATTTGCGCAAGGCCTTCAAAAATTGCCCCTTTGGGGCTTGTAAATGAGCAGTGTTCTGAAGATAACAGATTTATAAATGAGATTTTCATTGTTCATGAAATTACACTAACATGATTAGTAAAGACATCTGCAAAGGACAGACAATTTAAAATTCTATTAGAACAAAGAAGTCCTAAGAATTCAAGAAAAGAAGATAGGATGACTTTTTTACTTATATAAGTAAAAAAATCTGAATGTCTAAGGGACATAACTAAGCCAAAAAATTATTTACCTATACAAGTAAATAAAATACACTTGTATAAGTATCCTACAAATTTACTTATAGAAGTATATTAATATTACTTCTTTAAGTAAATAAAAATTACTTCTACAAGTAGTACCCCTGACTGAAGGTTTACCTATTCTAGATCGTATAAAAAATTAAAATTCCTCGTCTAGCTGTTTATAGCTTCTGTATGTTTAAATGTTTTTTTAGTTGGTGGAACATCAGAGGGGGTGGTGGGGGCGGGCCCCCCCCCCCCCTAATGTGGGAAAAATTTGGTTGATTATGTAGGGAATCACTGACGAATGACTGGAGCCCCCCCCCCCCCCCTTAAGGATGTTTAGGTTAGTCAGTGGGCCCCCCTTTATGAAAAGTTCTAGAATTAAGTTCTGGATCCGCCACTGAATGTTTCTATCCTTTCCTTTGTGTTTTCATCGATAAACCTATATTTTGAGCAGTCAACGATCAATTGACATAGATTGCCACCTTTTATTTATTCATTGTGTATATATATCTCATTGTCAGTATATTGTCATCTTGACTATTTGTTGTTGTTTACCCAAGTGTCATGCTTGTGGGCTTGTATAATTTGGAATAAAGTATATATTCTATTGTGTGTATCTAAATACCAATATTCTTCCTTTTCCACGAGCTTATATAAGATGTTAAGAAATCAGGATGTTTTTACCTGAACAGCAGGCAAATTCTAGATTTTCCAGATTGATTCTAAAATTAAAAAGTCCTTACACTTCCAGTTTGATCTGGTTACCAACTGAAAGATTTCTTCTTCTGCTCGACTGTCTACATGTCTATCTCAGGTAACAGTCTGTAAAATCGATTTCCGGTCAAAGTCAAAATGTTGCCTCAAATTACGATGGATGACGTGCTAAAATCTGTTGGTTTTTGTGCAGTTTATGTCCTTTTGATGAGCCTTAGTTGCGTCCTGTGTGACAGTTCAGAACTGGAGGAAACAGAATCCATAGACAGATTTAAGTTAGAAGGAAAAATTGATCTGTTTTCAGCTGGAAAAAACAAAGATTGGGTTGTACATGCACGCGTGTTTGTTGATGGCGGGGACTACGTGGGATTATTAAAGTAATTAATAATATTTTTATAAGACAAGTGCTAACTGATGAAACCTGAGGTTAAACAAGATTAATAATGTTTCCTGTAGTTTTGAAAAGGGGAGGGTTTTGTTTTCTCTGATTGCTTCCCTTCGTTAGTAATTTATAACCAAGGCCAGTACTTTGCTGATTCCTGACCTGGTTATCTTGCTAGGTTGGGGGAACTAGCTGGTATCTTTCTTAAACCGTGTGCCTACATGGCTTGTGCAACATAGATTCAAGTTCTATATATAAGTGTTTTTTAAATCAGCATTCAGTATAATTCAGCAATCACAATAATTACATACGTTCATGGGACATAATATAGCAGCATGTCTAATATCAATCCAATAACTAACTGTATAACTGTCTTAAACAACTGTCTAAACACAAGTGTCTCTAACTACATCATGTACATGGTCAACTAATATTTGTTGTGTTTTTCATTATTCAATTTACATAACATTAATACTCAATATACTGTATTTACTTAACATTATAATGCTAATTTATCTATTTTCCCAAATATCAAGTCTTTGTGACATAACCTAAATTATCTTAAAAAGTAAGAAATCCCTTTTGTATATAACACTTCATTTTGACTTCTCTAATCCTTAAATTCTCTATTGTCATTTAACCCTCAGGGGATTACATAATAATTTGCTTTACCAGTCAGGGGTACTACTTAAACAAGTGATTTCATTATCACCTATTTCAGTGATTTTTTAAATTCAGTTATCACCTATTTAAGTGATTTTGGTGTTTCCTTTGATCTTCAAATGCAAATTTCATTGATTTTCCATATTTTCACAAACTTTTCTATAATTTTCCTATATAGATCAATTATCCCTTTACCTTTGGATATCAATTTCACTAGTGCGCTTGGCCAGTAAGTTAGTGCGCTAAAGCTTTTAAAAGTACCCTTGGGAATTGTTCTGTAATCAAATATTCATTAACTACTCTTACTATCAGACAAAGGTCAACAATATTAGGTAACCTGACTGGTTTTCTTTATAGTTAGAATGATTTATTTCAAGGTTATGTCCTGATCTACAAATTATTCCAGTTTTTGCATATATAAATAAACTGTTAAAACTGACAGGCTTATCAAGCAAAAGACAATTTCTGCATGTACATAGTTGTTTTTTCAATGCAATTCTTGTCTTTTTACCAATAAAGAAAACAAGCTTGTGGGAAAAATATCAAAAAAATGTTATAAACACTTATTGAAGTGATTACATTTTAACTTCTCAAATTACTTGTTTCAGTGATTTTAAAAAGTCTGTGCGAAAAATTTTAATATTTCACAGCCAAAATCACTCAAAGAAGTGATTCTGAAATCACTTGTTTAAGTAGTACCCCTGACTGTTTACACTTATCTAAAATTGTGAAGATTTATATTTATTTTATTTATATATCAAGTAAATTATTTCTTAAGCTAGTGCTAAATATCTTTAACTAATACTGAAATATAACAATTCTAAGAATTTTACATATTAACATTCTGACATCTAAAATATTCCGGTTACAAGATACTTTGTCAGCCGTAAGCAGTTGAGCTAAGGAAGAAAGCTTTCCAGATGCGTCGGCCATATTTCCATGACCTCCATAGGATGTGTCGTCCATACTTCTATAGCTCTCTTGCTGCTGGAGGGACACATGTGTCCACACTGGCTATGCCAAAATGAAGTAATGGATCACAATGGAAACAAAAAAGCTCATTAGAAAAAGAGATAAGACTTTATAAAAAATCCAAAAAATCCGGCAATCCAACATTTACTAAAAATACAAAAAGGTTAAACACCAGGTACAGAAATTTATACGGAAATCATACTGGGAATACATTGAAAGCATCATATTACCACCACAAGATGAAACAAATTTTGGCACTATGAAAAAATTTTGGACCTACATTAAACATAAAAAAACTGATTACAGTGGTATTACTGAAATTAAACAAGATGGCAAACTCCTAACTGATCCACTACAAAAAGCTGGGGCACTTAACGCATAATTCCAGTCTGTATTCACAACAGCATCTAATATCTCCCATACAGAATTTGTCAAACAGTGCAACACGCCACAGAATACTCTTTTTCCACCCATATCAAAATTATTCATAACAGAAGGTATACAAAAACTTTTACATAACTTAAATCCTAACAAAGCAGCAGGACCAGATGAAATTAAACCAAGATTTTTAAAAGAACTTTCACATGAAACTGCACCAATACTCACCATCATCTTTGAGAAGTCAGTTAATACCAAAGTTGTTCCATATGACTGGAAAACTGCCCATGTCTCTCCTGTATACAAAAAAGGTCAAAAATATAACCCTGAAAACTACCGCCCTATATCCCTCACATGTATTTGTTGCAAACTTTTAGAACACATAGTAGTTAAACACATCATGACACATGCAGATAATCACAACATTTTATATCCCTACAGCATGGATTTCGCAGAGGTCGATTCTGTGAAACACAACTACTTGAATTTATAGATGATGTCTCACTTAACATGGAAAACGGTAAACAAACAGATATTTTGGTCATGGATTTCTCTAAAGCATTCGATAAAGTTTCACATTCTCTTCTAATTAATAAACTTCACCATTACGGGATACAGGGGGAACTAAATTTATGGATACAAAATTTTTAAACAATCGCAAACAGGCAGTAGTTTTAGAGGGGGAAAATCTGAGTATGTTACAGTTGAGTCAGGGGTACCACAGGGGTCAGTTCTTGGACCAAGTCTTTTCCTGTATTATATAAATGACATTCCAACTGGTCTTACAGCTACAGTGCGTTTATTTGCAGACGACACAATAGTTTATTTGGCAATAAAATCAAATTCTGATGCATCCACATTAAAAAAAGATCTTGACAAATTGGCATTGTGAGAAACTATGTTGAAAATGGCATTCCACCCAGATAAGTGTAATGTAATTTGAGTCACCAGAAATAAAAACCCAATCACATTTAACTACACATTACACAATCACTCCTTAGAACATGTGACAACAGCAAAATATCTCCGGGTAACCATCAGCTCGAACCTTAAATGGGGTGTACACACAAACAGCATATGCAAAAAAGCTAATAGCACCCTAGGCTTTCTAAGGAGGAACCTGAACATAAGCTCAACATCCATTAAAGAGCAAGCATACAAGTCCCTAGTAAGACCATCACTAGAGTATGCTTGCTCTGTTTGGGATCCATACTTACAACAAGACATAGATAGCATTGAAAAAGTTCAAAGGAGGGCTGCTCGTTTTGTTACCAACAAATACAGAAACACCTCAAGCATTGGTAACATGTTACAACAACTTGAATGGCGCAGCCTCTCTGACAGAAGAAAAGATTCAAGATTGGTAATGCTATATAAAATTGAACACGAAAAGGTTGCAATACCTAAAAATAATAAATTAATCCCACAAAAAAGACAAACAAGACATTCAAATTCGAACAGCTTCAAAATTCCATCCTGCAAAACACAGTACAGAAAAGAATTCTTTTTTCCAAGAACTATAACCGACTGGAACAAACTACCTGATAACATTATAAATTGCACATCAGTAGACTCTTCAAATCAATTTCAAAGCATCAATATTAACTCAACTATTACATTAAACTTATCATACACAGCATTTTTCATTTTTCCTATATTTTTTAATTTGTATATATATATCAATCTATGTCTTGTTGTAAGTTACATGTATCCTCCAGTGACATAATCTTCAATTTGTTGAAGGCGGTCACTATATGGTAGAAGTAGAAGTAAAAATTTACAAGTGTATGATGATATACTTGTAATTCAGAAATTCATTTATTTTTTTATTAAGATTTGCCAAAAAAAATCATAAAACATTAGACTAGTAAATTGTATATTTTTTCAATTTGAATTCAATAAAATTCTATATTTTCATTGATTTTGTAATCATGGTAATGGTACGATTTTGCAGTGGTAAGAGTTAACATTGGTACGAGTTCACTTTAAGTGGTACAAGTTGACCTGGTACGAGTTTGCAATGGTTGGAGTTGACTTGCTTCTGCTAGAAATAATCTGTAACCACCGTGTTCTTTAGTTGAGCACAGAAAGTAACCGCAGAGCATGATTTACTATGCTGATTAATAAATAGAGTCATTTGATTATGTCTAATAGTTAACTAATTAACTTGTTTCAATAATCCAATTAATTATTATTATTTTATGATTGGTGCGCTATATAATTTAACAAAAACTGAATATTTATTCATCGTAAAATTTAGCATCATTTGAATGTATTTAGGAAAGTTGGTACAAGTTATTAATGCTACAAATTTACCTTGGTACAAGTTTGCTTTTAGTATGATAATATGATAACTATAATTCATTTCTAGCTAGGGTATGTCATGTATGTGTAACACTTGTAAATTTTTATCCTTACTTCATTTGTACTTTACTATTCTGTCAGGGGTCACCACACCTGGTACCAGGTATGATTATAAATGAAACAACTATCCATCAAAGACATAGTCATGTACATGTTCAACTAACTTAATATTCTCATGACCTCCTTCATTCAATGTCATTCATACATAATTTGCTTAATTTGTTCCTTTCTTTAACATGTTTAATGTAATATATATTTTTTTTATAGAAGTGACGGATCTTTTGTTATAAGTGGTTTACCATCAGGATCTTATGTGGTAGAAGTCTCTCATCCAGCATTTATATTTGATGCTGCCAGAGTAGATATAACATCGAAAGGCAAGATACGAGCAAGAAAAGTCAATTATTTACAGCCAAACCAAGTCAAATCACAGACATATCCATTGTTTATACAGGAAAGACAGAAAACTAAATATTTCCAAGATAGAGAACAGTGGAAAGTAACAGATTTCTTATTTAATCCAATGGTAAGAGTAGATATATTTAATCCAATGGTAAGAGTAGATATATTTAATCCAATGGTAAGAGTAGATATATTTAATCTAATGGTAAGAGTAGATATATTGAATCCAATGGTAAGAGTAGATATATTTAATCCAATGGTAAGAGTAGATATATTTAATCCAATGGTAAGAGTAGATATATTTAATCCAATGGTAAGAGTAGAATATATTTAATCCAATGGTAAGAGTAGATGCATTTAATCCAATGGTAAGAGTAGATGCATTATCAGTAAATGTTATAGAAAGTAAAAAAACAAAAAAACGAACTCCAAGGAAAATTCTAAAAGGAAATTCCATAATCAAATGGCAAAATTAAATGCTTTAACAGATGGAAAACAACTGTCATATTCCTGACTTAGTACAGGCATTTTTCTTATGTTGAAAATGGTGGATTAAACCTTGTTTTATAGCTAGCTAAACCTCTCACTTGTTTGACAGTCACATAAAATTCCATTATATTGACATCAGTGTGTGAACAAAACAAACAGACATAATACATTTTGTATGTAAAAATGTAAAAATTAGGAGTACAGCTGTCTGTCAGCAGTCAACATTATATTATAATCTTAATTACTATAAAAACAAACAAATATGTCAACAAAGAAACACAAAATGGCATATAGACAAAGCACATAAACAAAAATGAAAGACAAGAATTTAAAAAATGACCATAGCACAATAACACAATGTTGGGATCGAGCCATGCCAAGAGAATTTTACCAAAAATGGACTAAACAGTGAAGGAAAATAATTTACCAAGAGTGGCAAGACAAATCAAAGAACGTTAACACTATAACACATGATTAGGATGATAAACAACTTCAGTACCTAGAATCTATACTACAAGACCATTGTGTAATATTTGTGAAGTTGATACAGAATATTTTTCAACAAGGTCTCGGAATCTTCAGAGGAACTTTTTTAGAGAAAGGACGAGAGGTTCTTTGACGTAACCCTGGTTCATATACTGACCTTTATTCACAAAAGAATGATATATGAGACATACTTCAGTGAATTGACAGAGAAACCGTTCTTACCTCTGTACACATTAAAAAAAAATATATAATCAGTCATGCATCATTGAATATGGAAGAAACAATCCTTTGTACGGAAAACAGTCCTAACTTTTCCAAAAAGAGAACGAATCAGTTATCATTGGTTATACATCAGTGAATATGGAGAGAAGTCTTTTACCGTTGTACACAAAAAAAGTATGAAATAATCATACATACATTAGAGAATATGGGAAGAAACAATTTTTACTGATTATGGTATAATTGTTTCTATTTTTAGGTACCTCTGTTATAAATTGGACTATTATTAGATTTGTTCTATTTTTAGGTATTAACAATGGTATTACCTCTATTACTGATTATGGTATTACCCAAGTTAATGAATGCAGCAGATCCTGAGGCTCAACAGGTATGTCTATACAATAAGAGATGTTCCTTTTATATCAATTACACATTTTGTTGGAAGGCAAATAAAGAGTAAAATAACAAAAATACCAAACTCCAATGAAAATTCAAAATGTAGAGTCCCTTATAAAATACCAAACTCCAATGAAAATTCAAAATGTAAAGTCCCTTATAAAATACCAAACTCCAATGAAAATTCAAAATGTAAAGTCCCTTATAAAATACCAAACTCCAATGAAAATTCAAAATGTAAAGTCCCTTATAAAATACCAAACTCCAATGAAAATTCAAAATGTAGAGTCCCTTATAAAATACCAAACTCCAATGAAAATTAAAAATGTAGAGTCCCTTATAAAATACCAAACTCCAATGAAAATTCATAATGTGGAGTCCCTTATAAAATACCAAACTCCAATGAAAATTCAAAATGTAAAGTCCCTTATAAAATACCAAACTCCAATGAAAATTCAAAATGTGGAGTCCCTTATAAAATACCAAACTCCAATGAAAATTCAAAATGTAAAGTCCCTTATAAAATACCAAACTCCAATGAAAATTCAAAATGTGGAGTCCCTTATAAAATACCAAACTCCAATGAAAATTCAAAATGTAAAGTCCCTTATAAAATACCAAACTCCAATGAAAATTCAAAATGTGGAGTCCCTTATAAAATACCAAACTCCAATGAAAATTCAAAATGTAAAGTCCCTTATAAAATACCAAACTCCAATGAAAATTCAAAATGTAAAGTCCCTTATAAAATAGCAAAATCAAAAGTTCAAACACACCAAACAAATACAAATGAAATAGAAAACTACTCATATCCTGACTTGGTACAAGTATGTCCTTATATAAAAAATGGTGGATTAAACCTTGTTTAATTGATAGCTAGGTTTATAAAAACAAATGTTAAGCACAAATTAATGCAGATTTATTGGTCCATTTACAGTGTCCAGAAAGATCTAATTTCAGATAAGTTATGAATGAATTTAGTAGAAATAACCAATGAGCTTACATCAGAAGCAACATTTGAACTGAAATGTTATAATAAAAATCAGCTGTGGTTTTGATTTCCAATGAGACAACTATTTACCAGGCCAGCTGAGAACAAAGGCTCTTGATGTAAATAACTATATATAGGTCACCTTATGGCCCTCATAAATCAAAAAAAATTCATTCTGTATAGTAAACTATGAAAAGCCCTGACATGACAAAATATTTAGTGCAGTTGTATAAATGGATGTTGTATCAGTAATATATGTACAATCGGGTAACTAATGTCATGTCAACACTATATCATTGCTAGCTATTAGACTTTCAATAAAAAGTGGATGATTTATTGATGATGCTAGGTCTTTAATATGCTCAACTGTCAGATTCTGTTACTTAAATTAGTTAAACACTTGTCATGACAGTACATTTGTAGATCCAAAATAATATGAAAAAATATGTGTAGGACTCCGAGGTGTGACGCGGACACTGAAGGGTGAGAATCTACGCCCAAGTGCAATGGTTCAACCGCTGATTTGCGATTGTCTCTATGACGGGTGATGGCTTTTTTAAAATCTGCAGATGTGTAATTATTTAAATGTTTTATAGTTAGTATATAAAATATTCATTATTGTCTATGTATGTCCTAAGTTACAGCTGTATACTGAATGAGAGATTGTCCTCTTTGATTTTCTGTATTTGAACATAATTCTGCTTTAAAATTTAATTTTTACCTGGTTCCTCTCATGAATTCCTTGTTTACAGTAATATTATAATACGAAGAGTTTGTTAAAGGACTCGTGTGTATTTAGAGTATAATGCCATGCTCCATCATATGTAAACTAGAACCTTTTGTAGATTTCGGAAAAAAATTGCTACAGAAGGTTACTTTTCCCTCTCTACCAATCACTCTCTGTTTCCCGTTGTTTATAAACGCCTTATTAACATAAAACCCTAAAAAACTGCTTATACAGTAACACAATGTATTGTCAACCTAAAGCAAATAAATTGCATCACACTTCAGCGTTACCACAATCAAGCTTTGGTGTACAGACAAGGATACAACTCTATAGGGTTATTAGAGAAAAATAACATACATTTGTTATTGTGGACTAAAAAATGAAAGAACTGTGAAAACATATGTATGTAACATGTTTCAAAGGGACAATATACATCATTTGTTTTGTATACATGTATACAAGTTCTATTGATATTACCATTGTCTTCATGTTGACTTAACTATAGAAAGGTATAACAGTTCATAGTTTGCCAATCATGCATAGTACACCTATGTTATAACAGAAAAAATATGCCTGTAATAACTAAAGGGTGTTATTACAGCTTCTCTACATTACTTCAAAGCCTTTGCTCAGACACACATCATGCTTAATTACAATGTATTTTAATTTATTGTAAGAAATAATGATCAGAGCATGTATTGAGGTTCTGCGCAAGCTTCCCAGTAATTCCCAAGTGTCTCATATAATAAGTTACATGCCTTTAATAACTAAGCCTTTGTTATTACAGCTAAGTTTAACCCTTAAAAGCCTTGTCTCATTGATTTACCATGGTAAATGAAAAATGCATTAATCTTATTCAAAAATTAGTTATCAAGGCTATGCATTTAGTTTCTGCGCAAATTTTCAAGAGTTCCCTAGAGCCCACTAAAAATTAAAATATTTATGATTTATTTTACAAATAACAAACATATGTTACTACAGATTTAGAAAATTTAAGGATTAAAGAGTAGACAACTCATGAAAGTATCTGTAATAACACATGCAAGATATTTTCTCTAATAACCCTATAAAGTTATATCCCTGACTGGTGTAGCTATCAACAAAATCGCAATACAATGCCACCATCGAACTTCCAGGGTGATAAAAAAAAGCTCTTCAGGGTCCAACCATTGCGTTTCAGAGTCCTACGTATATATTCTTATTTGTAGTTTTTATGATGTATCTTTTGTATTCCTATTACATTAATGGTAGCTGATTAATGTGATTTGTAATTTTTCCTATTACATTAATGGTAGCTGATTAATGTGATTTGTAATTTTAGGAGATGCAGAACCAGATGAAAGCATTAAATGATAAATCTAATTTACCCGACTTATCAGAAATGTTTGCTGGACTTTTTGGCGGAGGTTCAAAGAAACAAGGAAAGGCTAAGGCAGTAAAGAGGAGATAAGTTCTCGTACCATGTGATCTTGACTTAACTATAAAGAGGAATCCACCTAAACACACTATGGACCTGTCAAAGGGTCAATCATTTTCTTGCCACAACTGTGAGTGGTATTGACTGTCTTTTGCAAGTTTTATCTGGACTGTTAATGGCAGTTATTCTGTTAACCTACAGGTCTGCTTTTTGAAAAACTGTTATGTATTGATTTACACAGCATAGTCATTAACAGCTCTTAAAATGTTCATAGTATGTTAATCACATTTACTAACAGTCAAGGTATAAGTTGCAAAAGGCAGTTGCCATCATTCCTATGAACAGACACACTTGGTCAGAAAATGACTGTACAACTAAAGCACTTAGTTATTGTTTGGTCCATAGTGAAAGTATCTGACATTCCTCAAGGTTCAAAATGATAGTCATTTTAAATTGTTATAAAATATTGCTCATGTAAATAAAGGTACAGTGTAAATAAGATGTTTTAAATTCCCTCAGAATGAACTAAATTAGAGTATAAATCATTTTACTGTATTCGTCAAAATAACTTAATAACTATGTGCAAATAATTTGACAATGTTAGTTGATGATTTTTCAACATACATGTAATGATGTATATATATCTGCAGTGATATTTTTTCCTAATTTATCCTCTTTTTTTGTTGGACAATATGACAAATGTTTCTGACTTTTAACAAAGACATTCTCAATTACATGTACCTGGTACAAAAATATAACTTTCAGTTCAAATTATGCTAAATTGGAATGCTATGTTTTAATTTTTGTTTTGATAAATTTAATCTTTCCATGTTTTCAAACAAATTCAAAATTATTTTTGTTGCTCTTAAACAATAGATTCTCTCTAAGCATAATGTTTATTAGATTGTTTATGTAAAATTCAGATGCATAAATGTTGATAATACTTCATAGATATTAGTTATATATAAATTACACATAGTGAGAGGGTGATAGAGCAGATTGTTACCCAGAGAAAACATAGTCAACCGAGTCGAAAGATTTAAAAACAGTATTGACAGTTGTTTACCACCTCAATTTTTAAATTGTGTATTGAATTATACCCACCAAATCAGATTAGCCTACTTGCCTGTACTTTGGGGGACATGATATTAACAGTTGAAGATAAGCATTCTTATCATTTCAGCCAAGTTTAATATTTTGAAATGAATCTAAACAAGACTGAAAATCTATATTGCAGTTTTCACCATATTGCAAGGCCAATATATTTTCCCTCCACAGCTGTTTGTGCCATGCTGTATTCATGGTATTCAAATTTTAAGATTAAATATAAACAGCTATTCTTATTTTTTGTATCATGTTGTCAAGTTTCTGTTTCCTTGTAATTGTTTCAATTGTTTCAATTTGTTGTCCTTGTTTTATCCTGATTTGAAGATGCCAATTAATTTAGTGTACATATGTGAACAGTATAGTAGTAGTTTGTTAATTCAGTCAGACTGTTTATCATGTTATGGTAACTACAAAACTTTCTATACTGATCCTTGGTGTCAGCATGTTGTACATGTTATGGTAACTACAAAACTTTCTATACTGATCCTTGGTGTCAGCATGTTGTACATGTTATGGTAACTACAAAACTTTCTATACTGATCCTTGGTGTCAGCATGTTGTACATGTTATGGTAACTACAAAACTTTCTATACTGATCCTTGGTGTCAGCATGTTGTACATGTTATGGTAACTAGAAAACTTTCTATACTGATCCTTGGTGTCAGCATGTTGTACATGTTATGGTAACTAGAAAACTTTCTATACTGATCCTTGGTGTCAGCATGTTGTAAAGACTCAGGATTTTAACATGTTCCATCCACTAATGGAATGGAAGAAAAAAGTCAAAATGTGCAATACATATAACAAATACATCTGATTAACAATAAAATATTGCTCTATATATTTATTAAATTTGGCACCACATCCTTTCCATCTGAATTGCCTAACTGAATATTAACCTTTTAAAATCGTTGATACATTTTATTGTCATTTATGTGCATAATCTTTTTATGTCAAAACCACCTTCAAGGGAGATAACTGCACAATATAGCATATTTATATATTTGTTGTACATTTTTTTTATAAATTAAAATAAATGGATAAATGAATTTTGTTAATTTTCTATTGAGTCATTGGAGACACTTAAAGTATTTTATTTTTTAAATAGGTTCAGTTGCTTATACATCATAGTATGTTTACTAGAGGTATGGAATATCAAGATATCATTTATAACATTACTGATGGAAGGATTGGAATTTTTATTTTTTTCAAATGATGTGTTTAACTGTGATATTATATCAATTTTATTTTAACCAGAATAAATTTTCTATCTGTCTTCATTGATTTCACTTCAGATTGAACTAAATGAGTTCAACCTTATTTTCAAATAATTTGAATTTTCGGCTGATGTACATTGTAAATTTTTATTTCTTAAAAACAAATGTTAAAAATGGTGAAATTTGTTATTACAGAAAATCTTTTAATCTTTGCAGATTTGTTGTGAATTAACAGAATGGTATTCTTATACGATAAAGAAAAATGTTATAATTATTTGATTTAATGCTGTTTGCAAAACTTGCATGCATGAATGTTAAAAATATACTCAGGTCGTGTGTTTTTTTTTTATCATAGTTCTTTACTTATATAACACTTGACATGTGATTTGATTAAAGTTATATTGAACTGCAGACAATATGTGAATGTTTGTTGATTTTTAAGACATGTAAATTTGCTTGTCTGTTATGTATATAAAGAATTTATCATGCATTTATGTACATTTGCAAATGAGGTTAATTTAAACAGTTTTATACATAGTAGAATAAAGATTTGACAATTTCTGAACTTCTAATACAAAACACATTGCAGAAGTAAAATCAAAGTAAAATGTATATAAAAAACACAATTTTAATCAGTCATATTATTGCCTATAGTTTTAAAAGAGAGTTTACAGATTTTTCCACCTCCTCGTTATATTGAGGATTGTGTTTATATCTCCCAGTGTAGCTGTTTTATACTTGTATCCTGTACCTATTGTTATTATTTAATTAGAACAACTTATTTGTACACAACTGTACAATTACTATGTGTAAATTATGACTTATTAGTACACCACTGTACAATTACTATGTGTAAATCATGTCCTGTTTGTAAACTAAACTTTTGTAATAAAATTTAAACAGAGAGAAAGCGTTGTTAAGTTTGAATGAAAATATAAATAGCATGTTACCAGTTTGTTATGTTTCTGGTTTCAGGACATACCAGTGGATGAGATTTTGTATAGTGTAAGGGCATATACACTATTGGAATCTTATTATACCCCACGCAAATTTTTTGCGAAGGGTATAATGTTTTTGACCCGTCCGTCCGTCTGTCTGTCCGTCTGTTCGTCAGTCCTGTTTCTTGTCATCGCAACTCCTCTCAAACCACACAACAGAATTTCATGAAACCTTTTCAGATAATAAGGACATACTATGTAGATGTGCATATCGACAGGAATTTACGAATCAATTTTTTCCCAGGAGTTACGCCCCTTTGAACTTATTTGCCCAATATACTACTGCAACCTATTGTCATCGCAACTCCTCTGAAACCACACCACAGAATTTCATGAAACTTTGTAGAAAATAAGGACATACTATGTAGATGTGCATATTGACAGGAAATTATGATTCAAATTTTTTTTCTTACACTTATTTTATTTCTCAAATGACAATGTGGGGTATGTGAGCGCGCTCACTAAGGTTTTTATACGACCGCAAAAATTAAAAATTTTTTTGGTCGTATATTGGTATGACGTTGGCGAAGACACATTGGTTTTCGCACTCTAACTTTAGTTTAAGTGAATGGATCTCCGTGACATTTTACCATAAGGTTCAATACAGCAAAAGGAAGGTTGGGATTGATTTTGGGGGTTATGGTACCAACAGTTAAGGAATTAGGGGCCAAAAATAAGCATTTTTGTAACTTCCAGACATAACTTGTGTGTTAGTGTATGGATCTCTCTGACATTGTACCACAAGGTTCCATATCACAAAGGGAATACTGGGATTGATTTTGGGGGTAATTGCCTCAAAATTTAAGGAATTAGGGGCCAAAAAAGGGGCAAAAAACAAGCATTTTTCTAGTTTCCAGACAATTACTTGTGTTCAAGTGTATGGATCTCTCTGAAATTGTACTGCAAGGTACCATACCACAAAGGGAAGGCTGGGATTGATTTTGGGGGTAATTGCCTCAAAATTTTAGGAATTAGGGGCCAAAAAGGGGAAAAACAAGCATTTTTCTAGTTTCAGGACAATAACTTGTGTTCAAGTGTATGGATCTCTCTGAAATTGTACTGCAAGGTACCATACTACAAAGGGAAGGCTGGGATTGAGTTTGGGGGTGATGAATCATAAGGGGTTTCAAACAATTTGGGGGGGGGGTTTCCTTTTTTTTCTTTTTTCCTTTTTTTTTTTCTTTTAAAATTTTCCATTTTAAGTTGGTTATTTCTGATTTATATTTTAAAGCAAATAATAATGATATGGTAGGAGATACACACCAAACAGGATGTGTAAATTATTATATAATAAGTATTGTGCAATAGCAAGAAATTTTCAATTGCACAGTATTGCACAATAGCAAGAAATCTTCCATTGCACAGTATTGCGCAATAGCAAGAAATCTTCAATTGCACAATATTGTGCAATAGCAAGAAATATCCAATAGCACAATATTGCACAATAGCAAGTAATTGTCAATTGTACAGTATTGCACAATAGCAAGAAATATTCAATTGCACAGTATTGTGCAAAAGAAGATACTTCGTATAAATTGCTTATTTCTTGACCAATTTCAATGGGGTTTTATTCTTGAATTCTTGGGGTTCTTTAATAGGCTGAATCTAACCATGTATTAAGTTTTTGGATTTTGGGCCCCATTTTTAAATTGGTCCACATTGAGGTCCAAAGGGTCCAAAATTAAACTTTGTTTGATTTCATCAAAAATTGAATTATTGGGGTTCTTTGATATGCTGAATCTAACCGTGTATTTAGATTCTTAATTTTTGGTTCCGTTTTCAAATTGGTCTACATTAAGGTCCAAAGGGTCAAAAATTAAACTTAGTTTGATTTTAACAAAAATTGAATTCTTAGGGTTCTTTGATATGCTGAATCTAAACATGTATTTAGATTTTTTATTATGGGCCCAGTTTTCAAGTTGGTCCAAATCGGGGTCCAAAATTAAACTTTGTTTGATTTCAACAAAAATTGAATATATGGGGTTCTTTGATATGCTGAATCTAACCATGTATTTAGATTTTTGATTTTTGGGTCCTGTTATCAACTTTGTCCACATTGAGGTCAAAAGGGTCCTAAATTAAACTTTGTTTGATTTCATCAAAAATTGAATTCTTGGGGTTCTTTGATATGCTGAATCTAACCATGTATTTAGATTTTGGATATTGGACCATAACAGGTGAATGTCCAATTTAAACTTTTTAAGTTCTTAGACCACATTCATTCTGTGTCAGTAACCTATGCTGTGTCAAATATTTAATCACAATCCAAATTCAGAGCTGTATCAAGCTTGAATGTTGTGTCCATACTTGCCCCAACTGTTCAGGGTTCGACCTCTGCGGTCGTATCAAGCTGCGCCCTGCGGAGCATGCATTTTATTTAATTTTGACATAGGTCAATATTACTGTGCTAAATGCGGCAATATTCACTTTGTATGTTTTAACTAAAAATGTATCATGTAATCTGCCTTTTAGGTAAAAAAATGTCTAGGTGGCTACATTGTAGCGTGATTGTCTGTAGTGCATAAGATGTTTGCTCACCTAGTCTCACATTTCAAAACATATGGAAGACTTATGTTCATTTTGTACCATAGAGACAACAGTAATTTGTATGGGATTTTGTACCATATTGGCCACCTGGAAGGATGCCACCATTTGTACCAATTAAACCAAGTATATGCAAGACTTATCTGTGGTAATAAATCAACCTGTGTTTTCATATGTTAATCTTGATATTTTTTAAAGGCAGATCTCTTTTTATCTGTTCAATGTATTCACAACTGTTTTAGTGTCTGGACAGTTTAGAATTAGACATATTGTATTGACACCTGGGCTCTCGGTCATAAAACTTTACTCAGTACTCGGAGTACAAAATTTGTGCTCAAAACACCAAACCCAGGATTTTGATTGGTTGATTTCTGAGTCTGAGTACGAAAATCATGCTCGAAAGTTTTATGACCGCAAGGCCTGTCCTTTAAGGAATAAAACAATTCATTCATATTTCCCATCCTTTCTGGTCTCAGCAACAGAGCAAATATGCCATCCTCTTTTGATTTCATACATTTTTTTTATTAATCAAAAAACATTTTCAACAAGGGTTCTACGATGATCCCAAGTCCTTGAGCATTATTTTGATACCAAAATTGCCCACAAATTTTACTTATTGACAAAGTTATAGCTATGGGTAGGAACTGTTTTGTTTAAAATATGCTCTACTCTCTTGTCTTGTATGTTCGTTCTGATCGGGCTGAATTAGTGGTTCTATGCTTATAAAATTAAAATAAAAATTGTAATGTAAATTATTTTAAAATTTGGAAAAAAATCTTTACCTGGTTGAATGGTTAAATGTAAAATAATTTAGAAATTTATATGAGAATATGTACTTAAATTCCTGTTATTAAAATTTTTTTTGCTTGAAAATAAATCATCAAAACCAATGTTTGCACCAAGTTAAAAAAAAAAAGCATTTGCAAGAAATATGGTACAAAATAGAAAACATGTGTTTATTTCATATGATATAAAAATGGAATACATGCAGATGGCCTATGTAGCTATAAGGATCAAAATAGCTAAAGATGGTAGGAAATTGTTTTTGACTCGCCTGCAACGAAAATGGCAGCATTTGAGACACAGCTAATGCTATAAGTCACAGTGTAAACTATTTGTATATAGCTTTATATTTCAAAAGCCATCATACTTTGTATATAAATGCCTTATAATAGGAAGCTACCGCTGTCAAATGTCCATTGTCCTTGACCTCATTTTCATGGTTCAGCAACTGCTTAAAAAAACTATAGTTTTTTGTCATGTAAATTAATTACTCCTATTCTCACTAACTATGAGTAATAGGATAATTATATTTGGTTTATGGGAACTCTGCAAGGTCTATAAGTCTGTCGGCATGGTTTACTAACCTTACCTGGACCTTATTTCATGAATCCATGATTGAAATTTAAGTTATGTTATTAGGTCCGTTTCTCAGATACTATAAGCAGTAGGTCAACACTTAAGCTATTTGATGTATGGAGTTACTGTTAGACGTACATGTCAGACTGGTAGCTGTCATCTTATCTTAAACTGATATTCATGGTTCATTGGTCAATGCTAAGTTTTTATGTTTTGGTCAATTTCTCCAATACTTAAAGCAACACAGCAACTATATTTGGTGTATTGCATGATTGTAAGGTGCACATATATGTCTTGCAGGTATCATCTGACCATGACCTCTTGAAGGATTCATTGGTTAATGTTAAGCTTCCCTAGTTTGGTAGTTTTGTCAGTTTCCATAAACAATAAGTCAACTATATTTGGTGTATGGAATGGTTTTTATGTGTACATGTCTGTCTGGCAAGGTTTATCTGACCTTGACCTCATTGTCATGGATCATTGATAATGTAAAGTTTATTTGATACTTGTAGTTAAACCTTTAAGACTTTCAATATAAGAGTAATCATAGTCAGTAAAGCAGGAGAGACATTTCAGTGTGTGCACTCTTTGTTTTTTTTTATAAAATAAAAATAGTTTAGAATAAAGAATGGACATGGGGAATGTGCCAAAGAGACAACAACCTGACCAAAGAGAAAGTAGTCTGGATTAAATAAAAGGAAAAAATACATACAACATTAGAGTTTCAAAAACAAAATTCTGATCTTGTCCCTGTATGTTATAGGAAAAAAATTAGTTTGTTTTTGGTGAAATTAAAAAAAAAGTGTTTGTCTCCAGAAAACAATCCATGTCCCCAACAAAAGATGAATGACCAGCCTAGACCATACCTGTTTCAATTTTGAAATGCACCCCCTTTCTTTCAGCTTAAGTTTATTGGTAATACCAAAATTTAACAGAGTGCTTGCATCTCGCCTACATGTATAACAATAAACTTGACATTTTGGATAATTCTGAAACTAGAAGTTCTGCT